TTTAATGCACTTAATTTAATGCATTAAATTCTAATTAGAATTAAATTAAATTAAGTACATTAGAATTTAATGCACTTAAATTCTAATCTACTTTGAGATTATATATTTGAGTTTCCATTAAAAAAAAAAAGTTGCTGTTTTGTCTTCTTCTTCTTCTCCTTTTTTTTCTGAGACAGGTTCCCGCTTGTTGCCCAGGCTGGGGTGCAGTGGCACAATCATAGCTAACTGTAGCCTCAAATTCTCCTGCCTCAGCCTCCCAAGTAGCTAGGACTTACAGGCATGCACCACCAACCCCAGGTAAATTATTTATTTTTTGTAGACAGGGGGTTCTCACTGTGTTGCCCAGGGTGGTCTTGAATTCCTGGCCTCAAGCTATCCTCCTGCTGTGGCCTCTCGAAGTGCTGGAATGACAGGTGTGAGCCTCCACGCCCAGCCCTGCTGTTTTTCTTTGAAAATAAAAGAAAAACTAAAAATACAGTGTAGAATAAAGTAAAAATAAAGTATAGAATATGCCAACATTTGATTATGTGGGTATTCTACCAAGCTTCCTGAGTATTATCCCCTCTCTTGAGAGCAAAATGTGGACACCATTACTGGACAAGAGTATCTCTGGCTTGCTTAGTGTCTCAGAAACTGGGAAGAATGGAGTTTACCCAGACTATAGAACCTAAAGGAAGCAATTAACAACTCACTGAAAACTTAGTTCATTTTAAAGGCAGCTTTTACCTATTCAATTGATGTGCTAACGTTTTCTTTTAAGGAAAGAGATTTCTATTGGATACGATATATACCTGAAAAAAATGTGGGATTTTTTAGGTTTTTTTTTTTTTTTTTTTTTTTTTTTTTTTTTTTTTGAGACGGAGTCTTGCTCTGTCGCCCAGGCTGGAGTGCGGTGGCACGATGTCGGCTCACTGCAAGCTCCGCCTCCTGGGATCACGCCATTCTCCTGCCTCAGCCTCCAGAGTAACTGGGACTACAGGCGCCCGCCACCACGCCCCTAATTTTTAAAATATTTTTAGTACAGACAGGGTTTCACCGTGTCAGCCAGGATGGTCTCAATCTCCTGACCTCGTGATCCACCCGCCTCGGCCTCCCAAAGTGCTGGGATTACAGGCGTGAGCCACCGCGCCCGGCTGTCTACTGTTAAACCTTAAAATTGAAGAGGTCTTTGGCAGCTGGGAAGGTGCAGATAAACACTCAGTAACCCAGGGAGTTGCCTCCTGTGACAAAATAGAAGGTGAGAGCTTTAAAAAGAGATAGGCCAGGAGGTTCTGGCACCAGGAAGGAAAAGGTCTGGGGAGGAGCCCAGCTTTGAGAAATGGCCCTGCAGCTATGCAATAGAAAGTTGAGTGAGAATTCCTGGAGGCCACTGATCAGATTCAACAGTGACCTGGACACAAAACCATCCCTCCTGGCTGCCCTCCCACCTCCCCCACCGAACCCTCCAGGGCTCCCCTCAGTTGCTGGGTAAGAGAGACTGTGGAACTGACCAGGCCCCTCCTTCCTCTTGTCAATTTAGGCCAAAGGGGAAATGAAAAGTTGAAATGGTCTTAAATAGAAAGCACTTTTGCTACTTTCTCTTATCTGTACCTAGGGATAATTTTCATTCCAGTTAAATTATTTGGCAGATTAACATTTTAATATGTTCTTTGTTTCATTTTCCAGTGGGCCTTTTAATAAATGTAGCTGTATCTTCCAGTTTATGTCAGCTATGAGATGTCCCCTCAGCTGCCTTGAGTTTTGATTTTTTTTTTTTCTTCTACTATCTCTACTCATCTCCAGATGGCCTTCTAACTTTATCAGGTTTTCTTTCTCAAGGTCATTTTTAGGAGAGCCAGTATCAGGAACTCCCTTGAAAACCCTACCAGGTATTTAGAGCTCAAATTTTGTAGTCCACGACTGAGAGTTCAAATCTGGTTGTAAAACCTTGGGTAAATAACTTATTTTCTTTAAGAGTGTATTCTCATATGTTAAATGCTGTCAACTGTACTCACTTGATTGAGTTTCTTAGAGAATTAAATGAGAAAGCATGGCAGGGTGCGGTGGCTCATGCCTGTAATTCCAGCACTTTGGGAGGCTGAGGTGAGTGAATCGCTTGAGCCCAGGAGTTTACAACCAACCTAGGCAACATGGTGAAACCCCGTCTCTACCAAAAAATACAAAAATTAGCCAGGCGTGGTGGCACGCGCCTGTAGTCCCAGCCACTCAAGAAGCTGAGTGGAAAGATGAGCTTGAGCCCAGGAGGCGGAGGTTGCAGTGAGCTGTGATCGCACCACCACACTCCAGCCTGGGCAACAGAGTGAGTCTCAAAAAAAAAAAAAAAAAAAAAAAAAAAAAAAAAAACAACAACAACAACAACAAAAAAAAGCATGTAAAACACTTAGCACTGATGCATTGTTAATGATAAAATGATAATAACCTGCATTATTACTTTTGTTGTTAAGCAACGCTTCACTCCTTTTTCCTCCCACTCTCCAAACAATCTGAATAGCTTCCACAAGAAGAAACTGAGTTTTGTCTAAAATCATTATGTGTCACCCTCTGATTGCAAGTTCTTTTGTGTTTTCCGAATCGCAGTAGATCTAAACCCAGTGCAAATGTCTTAGCTTGTGTCCTTGGATACTTACGCAAGCAAAGCAAGTCAGGTGTTAGCGGGGAGGCAATTAAAAGTGGTCTCCTCCTTTCTGTGGGTAACCAAAAAATAGATAAATAAGAGGCATAGGTCTCTAGTTGAAGACATAAACCCACAAGAAAAGCTAAATTATTTAAAGATAAATAAAGCTGATCATATAATCTGCCTGCTAAAAATACTCTCAAGTACCCTATGCCTGCCTCCATTTACCAGTTTTTTCAACAATACTTATCCTCCTTGGTTTATACCTTTATGATACTCCAAGATCAGGCCCTTTCCTTTCCTCCAAGGAGAACTAATCTTGGATCACTTTCATTGGCTTAGCTGAGATTGTTCACTTTCGGGGCTTTCTTATTTTTCCTCTGCCCCGAAACACACAAATAAATAAATGCCCTGTTTCTACTTGCCATCAACACTCCATCAAGAACTCTCTCACTTGACTTTTTACTTATTGGTTGTGAGTTTTCTAGATACCTAGCACTCTATCTGGAAGTTGGTGCATAATAGGCACAACTTTAGTGACTGCAGCTAGCTGACTAGCAACAGGCAGGTTGCCTCTGGCTCGGTCTGGAAGGCCCTGGCCCTGAATGTGCCTTCAGGGAAAGGGCGGGTCCAACTGGGGAAACAATATCTAATAGTTGTGCTTTTATTTGTCGACTTATTTTAAAACCCAGGCTCATTTTTTTGAATTTGTTTTGACAGCATTCCTAAGATTTTTAATACTTTGATTAGAAATGTTCTAAGTTTTAGAAATTAATTAGACAGGCCTGGCGTGGTGGCCCACGCCTGTAATCCCTAAACTTTGGGAGGCCGAGGCGGGTGGCTCACCTGAGGTCAGGAGTTTGAGACCAGTCTGGCCAACATGGTGAAACACCATCTCTGCTAAAAATACAAAATTTAACCAGGTGTGGTGGTGCATGCCTGTAATCTCAGCTACTCAGGAGGCTAAGGCAGGAGAATCACTTGAACCCGGGAGTCGGTGGCTGCAGTGAACTAAGATCGTGCCACTGCACTCCAGCCTGGGTGACTGAGTGAGACTGTGTCTCAAAAAAAAAAAAAAAAAGAAATTTCATAAATTACTATCAAATTGCATGATAATAACACAGTACTTGGGAGAGCCTTGGTAAACTTAGCATAACACAGAAAGCACCTTTATAATTCAAAAAGTGTCAAGAAATACCTGCTTGTTTCCCAGATGGGAAGGGCCTGACAAAACTTCCAGAAAATGTGACTAAACGTATATATGTCAGGAATTGAAAACTATTAGCAATTAACATTCTGCACCATCTAAGACTTGTGTTTAAGACTAATGTTTATTTCCAGTTTTTTTTTCCTGAGTACTCTCTAGATTTCCCAGGTTAAAAATTGCTATAGTTTCTCAAATCAATTTGTCTCCTAATGGGATGATTTAAGGTGGGAAACACACATATACAAAAAAAAAAAAAAAAACTCAGGGCGGGAAGTAACTCTCCCTGAGTCTGTGGGTTAAACTTTCTGTTAACCCTGTTCAACTGGTTTTATAAGGCTTTCAGAAGGGGTCCTGCTGCTGCTAGTGCAGGCAGTTAAAAATAGTGTGGAGAACAAGGGCTTGGGGGAAGTCTGAGTCCAATCCTAGCATTTTGTTGATTTAATATTTCTGTGTTTTAGATGAGTCAATTTAAGCATATGACCGAGAGGCCAAGTTGGAGACCAGGTTTGGAAGAGAAAAACTTTCACTTGACTTCTAATTTGTACTCAGTGACACATGAACGACAATGTAAGTGAACGCAGGGAACTAAGGATGGGTCAGGTTAGGTGGGAGACCAGGAGTTCTTATTCTAATGTTACAGTAATTTCATGAATTTTCTTTTGCTTCTCTATCTTCTTTTTGAGTTGTAAAAGAGGTTTCATGCCTTCAGTGAAATTATTATTATTTTTAAGCATAGTTCTATCTGAAAAGTTCTAGAAGAAAAAATCCACTATCTTTAATTTTTTCACACGTAACTATTTAGTTATGTGTCCTAATGAAAAAATCTAGAAGTTATTTTTTCAAATCGAGTTTTACATATTTTTAAACAATAAAACGTTTTATCCTGTTTTATAATGTCATATTTTTGCTTCATTTCTATATCCTTTAGCTCAGTATTAAAAAGAAAAAAAAAACTCAAAGTGGTGTGTTTTGCAATATTGATGACCAACTAAGGTCGGGATATTTATTTCCATCTGGTAGAGTTCAACTTCTGCCTCCTGTTTGCTTTCTCCATCTGCCTGCCTCCCTTCATCTTTTTTTTCTCTTTTCCCCCTTCTCCTTAATGGAGTTGGGGTTAACCCTGTCCTAGGCCTAATCATTTTAGCAGGCTCCCGCCTTCCTGCTACACTGGTTTCTAAGTTTTTTTTTTTTTTTTTTTTTTTTGGTAGGGTTTCAAATAAACTTAAAATGTCTACACTTAATACTTTCACAAGCTTCAAATTCTTTTTATTTTATTTTTATAAAGAGCAGGACTCAGGCTAGGAGGGCATTTGGACTAGGTAAAAAAGAAAAATCTTTGGTTTTGTGTACACAAATTTTAAAATACATTGTACAGATTTTTTTTTTTTTTTTTTGGATACAGACCACTCTTTACAGGATCTGCGTTATTATATTTGCCTTCAGTAACTGGCTCTCCTGTCCGCATCCAGTAAGGTTTCCACTCTTCTCTTCATTGACTGGTGAAGTTACTGAAACAGCAACCACAAATGGCCTTACTAACCTACTTATTTTGCAATTACACTTTTACAAAGATATCCCACTACTCTTCCCCTAGGGTGGAGCAGAAACGGCTCCGCGGCGTTGGCAGCTCGTTTGCGAGGGACCCTGGCTCCCCGAGGCTGCAGTCTTTTTCCCTGGACTGAACGCCCCGCGGGACCGTTCCCTCCACTTTCCCCCGCACTCGCGGAGCGCACCGCCAGCACACACAGCGCTGGAGCCCGCATCGCCCGGCACCACACGCGCCTCCGGCTTGAGGAGCCAGTCACCGAGATCCGGAGCGGGAACGAGATGTAAACACGGAGTGGGAACATGCAGCCCGATCTGAGAAGGCGGCGCGAGAGTAGACACAGCCTGCGCCAGGCGGCTCTTATTTATCCAGCACTTACACTCCAGGGCAAGCGGGCCCAGGCAGCGCACTCTTGCAGAAGGATGCACTGGCGCAGAGCCTGGACCTGCTGAAGCGGGAAGGCGGAGCTAGGGCTGGGGGCGGAGCTTTCACACGCGCACCCTCGCTTCCCTCCGTCCTTCGACACAGCAACTGGGTCTCCAGCCGCCACTCCGGGTTTATTTGTTTACAAGCGGATTACGTCAGCTCCTCCCTCTCTTCCCTGTCTCTGGACCCGCCTCCTGGACTCTTTTCCCGCCCCTTTCGGCCCCGAACCGGCTTGCGTCACAATGGTGCGATATTCGGATTGGCTGGAGTCGGCCGTCACGCTCCAGCTACGCCACTTCCTTTTCGTGGCACTATAAAGGGTGCTGCACGGCGCCTGCATCTCTTCGCCCCTTGGAGCTGGAAATGCGATTCTTGAGATATTCGGATGCTGGGGAGCTGGAGGCGGAGGCGGCTGGGGAGGTCCGAGCGATGTGACCAGGCCGCCATCGCTCGTCTGTTCTTCTCTCCTGCCGCCTCCTGTCTCGAAAATAACTTTTTTAGTCTAAAGAAAGAAAAAAAAAAGTAGCCGTCCGCCCCTCACGCCCTCTCTTCCTCTCAGCCTTCTGCCCGGTGAGGAAGCCCGGGGTGGCCGCTCCGCCGTCGGGGCCGCGCCGCCGAGCCCCGGCCGCCCCGGGCCGTCCCCGCACGCCGCCCCCATGCATCCCTTCTACACCCGGGCCGCCACCATGATAGGCGAGATCGCCGCCGCCGTGTCCTTCATCTCCAAGTTCCTCCGTACCAAGGGGCTCACGAGCGAGCGACAGCTGCAGACCTTCAGCCAGAGCCTGCAGGAGCTGCTGGCAGGTGAGCAGGGCGAGGGCGTCGGAGGGACGCGGGCCCCACATCCCTGGGTCAGAGTCCGGCCGTCGGGGCTGCGGGAACCTCGGCAGCGCCCCGGGGCCGGTCGCGCTTGGGCCCCACCGCGGGACCGGTGTGGTCGCGCTGGGTGGCCGCTAACAGCGGCTCCCCGCGAGGCTTTGGGGGCTGGACGGAGGGCGCCCCCTCCCCCCAGTTGGCAAAACGGAGTGGAGAAGAAAACACGCACAACAAAGAAACTTAAACCCACCGAGGCGGGAGCTGCGGTCCGTGGACCGTCGGCGGATTTGGGGACAAAGGAGCCGCGGGGCTGGGGTGGGTTCGACGCCCCCTTCCCTCAGTCCTATCCAACCGTTGCGTGGTCGGCGGCCCAGCCCCGGGGTGGGAAGCCGCACCACTGCTCCGGAGCCAGCTCAGAACGGACGTGCAGTCTCCCCGCGCCTCCTGCTCCTGCCCATTAATCATCGGATTTGTCACCGGCACAATTACAGCCCTTCCCAGAGCGTGGTTTAGGGTTGCTTGTTTTTCTTCCCTTCGGGGTTAACAGTCCGATGGCGCTTCTCATCTCCAAAGCCACCAACTCCATTGTGTGCATCTGGGGTGGGGTGGAGAAAGTAAACAGTTTCTCGCCTGGCCATAGGTGCCACTGGCTTCCCGGCTGGCCGAGGCTGCGCGCCTGATTCCTGTTTTGGCGGCTCAACCAGTTGGTTCCTGGAGATTGTTTTGTCCCGTACTACTGCGTTATTTCTAAAACCCTGCCCGCTTTTTCTCCATCCCCGCACATACACAACAACGGATGCAATCCTGGACATTTTAAAAAGTTGATAGTTTTCATTTTCGCTCCTCAAGGGATCCTGGGGTAGGAGGAAATCACACTGGGAGCTAACGATCCTAAGCGTTGTTTCTCTGTTCTTCTTTTTTTCTATAGAACATTATAAACATCACTGGTTCCCAGAAAAGCCATGCAAGGGATCGGGTTACCGTTGTATTCGCATCAACCATAAAATGGATCCTCTGATTGGACAGGCAGCACAGCGGATTGGACTGAGCAGTCAGGAGCTGTTCAGGCTTCTCCCAAGTGAACTCACACTCTGGGTTGACCCCTACGAAGTGTCCTACAGAATTGGAGAGGATGGCTCCATCTGTGTGCTGTATGAAGCCTCACCAGCAGGAGGTAGCACTCAAAACAGCACCAACGTGCAAATGGTAGACAGCCGAATCAGCTGTAAGGAGGAACTTCTCTTGGGCAGAACGAGCCCTTCCAAAAACTACAATATGATGACTGTATCAGGTTAAGATATAGTCTGTGGATGGATCATCTTATAATGATGGATAAATTTGATTTTTGCTTTGGGTGGGCTCCTCTTGGGGATGGATTATGGAATTTAAACCATGTCACAGCTGTGAAGATCTGGCACAAGATAGAATGGTAAAAAAAAAATTTTTTAAGTGACAGTGCCATAGTTTGGACAGTACCTTTCAATGATTAATTTTAATAGCCTGTGAGTCCAAGTAAATGATCACTTTATTTGCTAGGGAGGGAAGTCCTAGGGTGGTTTCAGTTTCTCCCAGACACACCTGAATTTTTACATCAGTCCCTTTAAAGAAAATCTGTATTACAAAGAACCTTTCTCTGCAGTAAATCTCGCAGAGGAATTTGCACTATTACACTTGAAAATTGTTACTGTTAACCTTTTTGGCAGCTCAATAGGAAAGCTGAACGTTTTAAACATGGTAGTACTGGAAATTTTACAAGACTTTTACCTAGCACTTATGTATAAATGTACATAAAGACAAACTAGTAAGCATGACCTGGGGAAATGGTCAGACCTTGTATTGTGTTTTTGGCCTTGAAAGTAGCAAGTGACCAGAATCTGCCATGGCAACAGGCTTTAAAAAAGACCCTTAAAAAAGACACTGTCTCAACTGTGGTGGTAGCACCAGCCAGCTCTCTGTACATTTGCTAGCTTGTAGTTTTCTAAGACTGAGTAAACTTCTTATTTTTAGAAAGTGGAGGTCTGGTTTGTAACTTTCCTTGTACTTAATTGGGTAAAAGTCTTTTCCACAAACCACCATCTATTTTGTGAACTTTGTTAGTCATCTTTTATTTGGTAAATTATGAACTGGTGTAAATTTGTACAGTTCATGTATATTGATTGTGGCAAAGTTGTACAGATTTCTATATTTTGGATGAGAAATTTTTCTTCTCTCTATAATAAATTGTTTCTTATCTTGGCATTTTAATCAATCTCTTGTCATGATTATAGAGGTTTAGCTAAAAGTATTTTTTCTTAGAAGACAGGTTCTATAAACTGTGAATATCAGTTGCACACTGGTCATGCTGAAAAAACATTTGAGGAATGAAGATGCTCTGTGTATACATATTTAGGTGTTAGAGGCAACACAGGAATAACATGCTTTAAAAATTTCTAAAGTCAAAACATGGACACATTCACAGGCTAAGGATCTCATGAAATAAGGATAAGAGACCACGGTAGCATCTACCAAAAATGTGATAACTCAAAAGGATTACATTTCATTGCTTCCCTGTTGAAGTGAAGATAGAAATGTTCCATTCTGACCCACCTTTGAAAAAACGATTACTTTGCCCCATGGATTCCTTGTTCAATTAGAAATTTCCCGGGGCAGGTGACCCATAGTCTTAAAAGAACAGGCTAAACACTACAGAGAGATTGGTTGCTTTTTGCTTTTCATCACCTGCAAGATTTACATAAAAATCACATAAGCTGGAATTCAACAAAAGGTATGTTTATGAACTTTTATTCTCAAAAGTTGAAATGCTTTCTCGATTCCCCATTTTCAGACTTTTATTTCAGATAAATCCTAAGAACCTAAGTGGACCTTGATAATGCTGTAGTGTAGGTTAGTCCACTACCACATATAATAGAAGGACTTGCTGTTTCGTTGTAGAGGATAACAGCGTTTTTCAGTGGAAATTGAAAGTGGAAAAATTGAATTTTGCTGTACACAGTTAACATGTAGTGGCCTTTTTTTGCTATATATGTATAAACATGTTGACACTGGAAATTCGCAGTCTGCATTAAAATCTGTAATTACTTGAAATCAGTATCTCAAATAACTTCAAGAAGTTATTTCTACATGCAGGATTAAATTATTCTGATTTTGTAGGCAACACAGGAATAGGCCGCTGAATATGCAGGTATTTAGAGTACAATGTGGGTATTATTGGCACGCCATTCTCGAGAGTTTGAATTCGTAGACCCACAACACATGACTACCCTTGCCAATTGTTATGGCTTTAATTTTAAATCTATTCTGTGAAAAAGCTCCTCGGTATTTCAAACTTGAATTACAATAAAAACACCCGGTAGGGTAGTTTTTAAATGGGTCTTACCCCCGTGCTGACTACTATTGTTTACCAACTACATTTCACCTGGTAACTCCTTTGAAACTTAAGTACCGCAACCATTTTTTTTTTTTTTTTTATCGTAAAGCCTTTTTTCAAATGGAAAGTTGTTTTTGAAGATCTTGACATCAGACTTTTTCGATCTTTAAAAATGATGGAAACAGTTAATAAAAATGTTTTAGAATTCAGGTGATGTCTGGCTTGTGAGGAGCTGTTCATAAGTTTCTCTTTGAAAGGCTTACACACATCACTCTGAGACCAGCTGTTTCCTGTGACTTTAACCTTAACCTTCCCCAGACAATTGAGCTGAACCTATATCTGAGTACAGTAGCTGTTTGTGTATTTCTTGTTCACTGTTCCTGGGGAATGTTTTGAAATATTTTATTACAAATTCTTTTAGATAGGATGACTATTTTCAAAATTATTGTTGCCGTTGGCACCAGGAATTCATAGTTGTGATTGGCAGTAAGTTTGAGGAATGTTACTTTCTAAGTTTTAACAGGTAGTTTTGAAATTTCCTTTTTTCCAAATTTAAGTAGTGCCTCCCTCTGTAATGTTGAAACAAGGCTTCAAGTGGATTGTATAGCAAGAGTTATCCTGGTTCACGCAGGATAATGTGGCTGTTATCTTTGTCATCTGGAATGGGAATCACATGGTCTTACCCTTATTCGCAATATTTCTATAATAATAGACTGGAAAGGCCACCAGAAAGTGGCTTTCTGGTACATTGCACAAATAGTTTCCTTAAGTCATTATAACTCACACATTGCAAGTAATTAATTTTGTTTTGTATAGGTGTTGCAGATTATGAAACTGGCCTTCAAGTTAAAAGGAAGGAAGCAGTATTCCCAATGGCTAGTGTTTAATGACTACAGGTTTCCAGGCTCCCTTTAATCTTGGGAACAAATAAATCTACTATTGGACTTTTCCCTGCGTGACTTTTAACATTTCTGATACTCTCTCTTCTTCCTCTTTACAGAAGAGAGGTATGATGACTAAAGTTGTAGTTTGCATATTGAAGTTTAAAGATATTTAATCTCCCCTTTTCACCCCTATTTCAGATGATGCGATAAAATACTCTTGATAGGCTATATGGAGAACATTTGTCAGTAGTTTTATCTATGCATAGAAGTCTTAAAAACATATCTTGGATTGTCTAAAACTGAATAGATTTCTTATCTGAAGGTATACAGACTGCAAATATTTTAGACTCATCTCTCAGTCTCTGCCACTGAACTTTTATATATGGCTGCTATCAAAATATAACTGGTTTATTTTCATATTTGGAACATAATATAACAGTATCACAAAATCTTTTACAATAAGATAGTTTGTATTACTAGCTGAGCTGCTTAACTGAGTCCTTAAGTCATTTAATATATAGGACTATAAATAGAGAAACCTGTACATTATTTGATCTGATTTCTGGTTATGCCTATAGATCTTTATTTATCCCTATAGACCATTTTCTTCTCATGTTTAGTGTTGTATTTTTGAAATGCTCCTAAACAAGTAAGCCTTAGATTGTATTAATCCTGAGGATTGATACCATTTCCTCAACACTTTGTGGAGTATGATTGATACCAGTTTCTTTTTGACTGCAGGTTTAACTTGGCTTATCACTTTTCGTACTGCTCAGTATGTCCAAGATAGGAATAAAAAAAATGGACTTCAACTTCTGACTGTTATTGATGAGCCTTTTCATGATATTTATCATTTTAGTATTGAAGATGCAGTGTTCTTTTGGCAATCACGTATGCTTAGAAGAGAGTACTGATGCTCAGAGGTGAAATGATTTGAATCTAGAGTTGGATAAAAAGGGAAAGGATGGGGAAAATGAAAACTGGGAAGCTAAACTGAGAAGGAATTGCAAGGTTTGGTGGTAAAATTCATTCGCTATGGTCATAGGTGTATATGAAGAGAGGTTTGCACAGCACAGTCTCTTGGCAGAGTTTAGGAATCACTACTCTAGGATTCTGCAGTTCATGAATTGTCGGGGAGACTCTGCACTCAATTTGTTTCTGTGAACATGCAGGTGAACGTGGTAGTACAGGTGGAACTTCATGGGAACTGGGCTTGGGGGAGGTGTGGATGGGAAGCACAAATGTCTCTCAGTATTTTCTAAAGGGAGAATATTTTTTAAGGTATCTGTTGTAAACCACTTGATGATTATAGCCTCTTTTCTTGTACCTTTAAGTTGTGAAGGCCATTTGTGACCCCATTCCTGGTGGTAGAAAAATGACCAAGTGTAGGCCAGACATATCACATCACATTAGTACCATTACAGTTAATTGGATTCCTGTATTTGGAGAATATTACATCAAACACTACGTATAATTTCAAACTGTAACATTGATAGGAGTTACTTCACCCATGGGTACATTTACTTTTAGTGATTCTCTAGATGGTCATCTCCAAAGTTATTTTGTCATTCTTTTAGAATATTTTTGTATGTATTTTCATGTGTGCCTGCAAAAGCATGTGGCACATTTTCTAAACAAATATACGTATATTTGACATACACTAAAAATTTTGTTGATAGGATGCATGATCAGAAATGTTTAGAGACTATTTCTTTCGATTTTCACTAAAGTAGATGAATATTTGCTCTCCCCAAAATAACTCATAATTATGTTCTTTAAGTGGTAAGTCTTAAAATGACAAGTTATTGCAGCAAGACAAAGAAGATTGCCTCGTATAAGTTTAACTTATCTGCGTAAGTCTTTATAATAATAAAATTAAGTCATCCTTTACAGCCAACAGATATCCAAATTGTGTTACACCAATTTGAAATCTATATGTTCCCATATATTCAACTATGTGTTGCTGTGTGTTGAAATTCACATTTTTGTTTCTCAGAAGTTTTTTTTTTTAAATCTTAGGGTCTTTGTAACATTGATATGCATAGTTGTAAGAGAACTGAATTATCAAAGTTGTAGATGGGTGATTTAATTATTTTTAGTAGTTATGGCTTAGCCAGAAAGGCCCTGTATCTTTTCCCTCTTGTTCTGAGGCATCCCTAAATTTTTGAAGGAAAAGATGACTAACAAATTGGAATTTATTTGAGAAGATTCTATCAATGACCATAAGCCATAAAATGATTAGACTTGACAATTGCGTTATGAGCAGATTTGAGTACACTTTCTAGTAGTTGTCTTGATTTATGGCAATTTTGTCGCCTCAAGTCAATAGACTAAATGGAGTTGTATTTCCCACAAATTATACTTGTGAGTCTTCAAGTTATCAATATATATTCTTATTTGACCTTCCAACAACTGGATGAGGTTGGCAAGTAGGTCAGTATTTTTTAATCTTCATTTTATGGATAGAAAACTGAGGCTTAGAGAGCTTAAGTAATTTGCCCTAAAGCCAGACAGCTAGTAAACAGCTAATTCACAATTTGAATTCAGGCTTTTGTGATCACAGAATCCAAGCTCTTAACTATTGTTATATTGTGATGCATGATTTATCTACCTTCCTTCACACTGTTGGAACATGTATTTTAACCTCTCATTGTCGGTTGGCCATCTTTGGTTATTTTTCAGCCTTGAAACTCTTTCACTCTCTATGTTCAGGAGGCATATAGCAGTCTACAATTAGGCTCCTTTCTTTGAGAGGCAGTTGGAATTTAGCATAAAGAATATTAATCTGGGACTCAGACCAATCAGTTGCCATCTTGACTTGTACCAACTTGTGACTCTGGACCAGTTGCTTAGCCTCTCTGAGCCCATCATTCCATGTGTAATAATGGAGACAAGTCATTTGTTGTCAAGGTAAACATGAAATCATATAGCTAGTGAATGTTTGGAATTTGAATACTCTATCATGGAGGCCAACAAAATATAGCTGA